GCTGGTTCACACAACAGGATCACTTCGGCTCACGAAGACCAATGTACATGACTGTCCACACCATCGGCGACCTCTCTTCATGTACCAGGTACGTACCTCGTCACCCTCAATCAGACCTTGATTATCCCACACAGCGCCTCACTCCTTGAAGACCACCCGATCATCCGCTATGCCCCCTGGCGCCTAGCAGCCCGGCTATGGCCGCCTGCGCCCCGCTGCCCTGCAACGCCCCACTTCACCTCTCGTGCCCCGTCAGCGCCCTTGGCAGCAGCGCAGCATCAAGCAAGAGCGCAGCAACACTTCCTCATTGCCAGAGCTGGCCAGAATGCCTGGCCTGGGCTGCCTCACTTCCTTTATGGAAGTGGCAGCCTGATGCATGCTGCGTGTGGCCTGGCTGGAAGCTTCTAGTAGCTTCTGGTTGGGCCTCAGACCCTGTGCCCAGGCCGAGACTTACAGTTGAGGGCCTGGGCCCTTTACAGTTGGGCGCAGCCTGAGTCTCCAGACTTGGGCTGTTAGCTGCATCTGCGCAGGGCCCCCAGGTAGGTGTGTCGGCTGTATTGCTTTTCCAGAGGCCGACGGCCTGCTTCTCAATGTATCGGCCCTACTTTATGTGTAGGTGCCCAAGCACAACTTTCGTGGCCTGGGCCAACTGTACGGCGCAGCTTAGTGAGGCTCGCGCGTTCACTCAACCAACTGACACGCTGCAAGAGCCTGAATACCCACATATGGAAATGTCGAATTTGGCATGTGACGAATATTCAGGCCCGCCTTCACTTACGGCGGGCACTTGGCTTGCTGGGGCCTTGGCCCATAACAATGTGATGTATGAAAGGGCCACTTGAGGGCTAGTTCCTCACATTCCATCCCCCTTAGCTTCGAAAGTCCGCTGAGATGCTTCATGCTGGTGCCTTCCCCTTCAGTCTTTTCTCATAATCGGCCACGATCTGAGGAGCTGTCTTGACAAGTTCCTCCCTTGAAATCCATCGATCTTCCTTCGGATCTGTATGATGCCTGAAATGTACTCTGTACTCCCTCGCAGGTTTGGGAGGTCTTTCCCTGCCAGGTGGCTTAGGAACAGGCGTATCTCTGTGATCCAGGATATCGTCGACGTCCACGTGGCCATCCATGGTTGGGGGCAGCATAGATCTCCGTGATGGGAATTGTGTTGTCTCAGCGAAAGGTGCAAGTTTGGAAGCGTGGAAAACACGGTAAGTGCGTAAGTAACCAGGGATACAAATAACGTACGAGGGACCATCCAAATCATTCCCCACGATATCCAGAACTTCCCAGGGACCGAAATACTGAGGCATTAGTTTCCTAGAGATGCCAAACTCCTGTCCCAGTTCACTAGCCTTGACCCAGACACGTTCCCCTACCTGAAATGTGAACTGTCGACCACGCTTGTTCTCATAAGCAATCATGACCTCCTGAGATTTCTTAATGTGTTCGACAGTCTGCTGCAGCAGTTTCTCATACTGGACACCAAATGGTTCCAGGAGTTGTAGCAGTTCGATTTTCAGGCAGGAGGAAGTCTAGAGCAGATCTAGGCTTCCATCCCAGATGTAGTTGGTTAGGTCTGACACCGATGGTGTTGTGTACAGCGTTGTTGTACACACTAGCGATGAGAGGTAACTTCTCATCCCAGTCATCCTGGCTGGGCTTGATGTAATGCCTCAGCAGATGCTACACCACTCGGTTCATTTGTTCAGCCTGTCCATTTGCTTCGGGATGATTCCCAGAAGTCATCTGAAGCTGGCTGCCCATCTGTTCAGCGGCCTTCTTCCACATCTCACTAGTGAAACGAACATCTCTATCACTAACGATAGTCTTAGGCAATCCAAAACACGCACCCATTTGTCCATGGACAACTTGATGACGTGCTCAGTCCTGGCAGTCTCTGGCATGGCGATTAGTCTAGCGTACTTAGTGAACCTATCCAATATGATGAAGATGTGCCTCTTGCCATTCTTGCTGGTCACAAGAGTATCCATGAAGTCCATGGAGATACTCTGCCCTGGGCCAGCAGGAATAAGTAAGGCTCGAGTAACCCAAGCGGAGCTCGAGTCCGCGGCTTGTCCCGCTGACAGACCTGACAGGTCTCCACGTACTTCTTCACATCGTCAAGCATGTTGGGTCACCAGAATCGCTGTACTAAATTAGCACTCGTCTTCTTATAGCCGAAGTGTCCCATTGCGTCGTGGCACTCACCTAAAAATAAACTACGCAAAGTCTCTCTAGATGGAACAACTAACCTCTTGAACCCTGCCTTCTCAAGAAAGAGCAACCCATCCACCATCACAAACTCATCAGTGGTGGCCTTATGTTTAGCCTGTAGTTTGTTGATGATGCCCATCGTGATGGGATCTTCCTTGTAGGCTTCATCCAACGATCGAGTCACGTCCTCACACAAACCAAACTCARAAATCAGCGCAYCTAGGTAGTCTGCCCTCCTAGACAACGCATCTGCAACSTTGTTGTACTCTCCCTTCAAATAGTMTAGTTTGAAATCATATTGATCTATGACTTCAATCCAACGTTTGAGTGCATCGGAGAGAACTGGTTGAGTCTTGATCCACTTGAGTCTCTGATGGTCAGTTCTCAAGTAAAAGAACCTTCCTAACAGGTAGTGCCTCCAGTGGACAAGTGCCTTGTAAAGAGCATAGAGTTCCCTCTCGTAGGTGGACTTTGCCAACTTCTTTGAAGGCATCTTTTTGCTCATGTACTCGATCGGTCTCAACTTCTTCCCTTCCTGCTGAGCCAGCACTCGCCAATCCCATATTGGCTTGCGTCAGTGGTTATAACGAATGGTCTTTGCGGGTCGGGTACCATGAGAACCTCATGATGCGTGAGAGCATGCTTCAAACGCTTAAAAGCTGCCTCACACTCGTCGGTCCAGTCCCGTGGTGTATCGAGTCGAGTTAGATCAGTTAAGGGAGATGTAATCGTGCTATAATTCTTTACGAAATTGCGGTAATAACCACACATTCCCAAGAATGATCTGACCTCAGTCACAGACTGGGGTCGTGGCCAGTCACAAATGTTAGCCACCTTCTCGCATCTTTGGGCCTAATTCCATCCGCGGATACCTCATGACCCAAGTACAAGATTCGAGTGCGACCAAACTCGCATTTCTCAGAGTTTATCTTATACTTGTGTCGTCGAAGGAGTGAAAGTACTTTGTCTACATGCCGAGCATGCTCCTCGACAGATCTACTTAAGATAAGTATGGCGTCGAGGTACACGACAACAAACTTGTCTAAGTAGTCATGGAAGATCCTATTCATGGCGTGCTGGAATGTACCCGGCGCATTGCAAAGGCCAAAAGGCATCACCACAAACTCGTACAGACCGTACCTGGTCTGAAATGCGGTTTTGTGYTGGTCYTCTGGTCTTATGGCAATYTGATGGTAGYCGGATTTTAAGTCTATCTTTGTATAGTACTTACACCCCTGCACCCTATCCAATAGGTCGTCGATGCGTGGTAGAGGCTCTGCGTTCTTAACAGTGATGGCATTGAGRCCTCTATAATCAATGCACATCCTTAGTGTTCCCCCTTTCCTTGGAACAAACAATACTGGTGAGCCAAAGGGGGAAGTGCTAGGCTGAATCCAACCCTTCTCTGTGAGCTCTTTCAGTTGCCGCCGAAGTTCGTCSAACTCGGCTGGAGCCATCCTATAGATTCTACCCTTAGGTGTTTCACTTCCTGGGATAATCTCTATGGCATGGACAATCTCCYTRTCTACGACTCCTGTAGGCTCCTCGAACAAATCTGGGTACTTAGCGACGATGGTCTCTATCTYTGGGGGTGTTTTAAYGGCCTCCCYKTTTGCAGAGACATAGACTAAGTACATTCCTTCCTCTTGGTTCTGTTTATAATAATTATAGAAAGCAGATGCGCATAAGCACCCATATGAGTCTACTAACCTACTGGCTTTGTACTTGGCCAGTCTCATGGTTCTCCCACTAGGCAACTCATGTTTCAACACTTTCTTGTCCCAGTCAAACTGGGGCTTGGCAACCTCGAGGTAGTACATGCCAAACAACATGTCAAAGGGCAACTCGTCGCTCACCAGGAAAGATATCTTATGGTTTATCTCTCCTCCTGGGTAGGAGAAGGTGCAGACTACATCTTTAACGTAGTCCTCCACCATCATGTGCTCTTTGTTGGCCAAAGTAGATACTACCAGTCTACTAAGGCGCTGCACCCGGTCCTTTAGGCACAGTCTGTCAACGCAGTCGTGATTTATGAAGTTTCGTGTGGAGCCAATGTCTATGAAGGCACCGCACTTGCTACCACCCACATCAACTTCCACAACGAAGTGCTCCCCTCTAGGATCTCTGCTCAGTGCCACCCAGGACTCACGAGTGTCCCTTGCCGACCACTCGCCTTGAAGGTCCTCTAAGGCCTCAGACACATCCAACGTACAGAGCATAGTTGGGTCCGGATGCGTCTGCGGGGTGACTAAGGAGTCAATAGCTTTGGCCATCTCTTGAAACGGGGAGGGTACATCACCCGCTTCAACGAGAGTAGAAGCAACTATAACTTCTACTGGCCCTAAGTGTTTCCCGAGTTGGAGCTCGTAGAGGCCCTAGATTGAGAAGAAGAGAACCCACCCTTGGGAGGGATCTTCTGTGAGACCTTCGGGTTCTTGCATTTAAACTGTGTGTGACCATACTCACCGCAGTTAATACAAGCACCACGAGACCAACGGTCCCGCCACACTTCTTGATCCAGACCTGCTCTAACCCAAGCAGCTATTTTGTTCGGGTTAGTGGCCTGCCCCTGACTCCTTTGTTGACCGCCCTTGCCGCGGCCAGCTGCCTTAGTCTTAACTACGGCGGCGAGGTTGCTACCCTCAGCACTCTCCTCGCCGTCAAACTCTGAACCCTCCACAAGAACGGAAACACCATCGATCTCGGTTTGATTTCCATCGGAATCAACCATCATCAATCGACTACCTTTCTTCTTCCACTCTTGTGGAGTCTTCTTCTTTCTCCCGTCCGTAGAAGGGGTTTGAGCTCCACCCAGCGTAGCCTCTAAGTCTAGGGCCTTCTTGCTGAATGACTCAAAGGTGTGATACTCTCTGCGAGCCTCGCTGGCTAATAAATTCCTAATGTATGTGGGAATACATCTCAGGAACATGGTCGGCAAGACCTGTGGATTGTACTCCATTCCCGGGACGACGATCAGGCGCTCTACGACTGTGGCGAGTTCCCGCACAGACTTGTACTTTTTAGTATCCAGTTTCAAGAGCCCATTAGTGGCAATCTGTGCCTGCTGAGGGTTGTGCCAACGAGCCTCCACTAAGTCCATAAAGCTTTCTAATGTGTGGGTCTGCGCCCAATCATGCATGTTCCTGCCGAAGCCCTTTGAAGCTACCAATCCATTTAACCACCGGGCTGCTGAACCGTCTAAGTAGGATGCAGCAGTAATCACTTCCTCTTCTACCAATGTCCTTTTTGCCCTCACCCACACTGGCACCGTTCTCAACCATGTGTCGAGAGCCTCATCCTTCTTGTCTCCTGAGAAGGTTGCAGGTGGGTTCAGTGGGGTCTTGGGGTACCAAGGATATTGCTGTCCCGGTTGCGAGACAGGTGGCGACTGTGGTGTAGGAACAGTCGCTGTACCAGAAGACGAAGAAGCAACAGTCTAAGATAGAGCTACTGTTGATGATACACTTGGTGGTGGTCCTGATTGAGCTGCATAGAGGCCTGTCATCGCTGAGAGTGGCAACGATGGTAAAGCTGCTGGCCGAATCCTTGGCTTATGCAGCGCTTGCAAAATCTGGTCTAGAGTATCCTGCATTGCGTCCATTTTACTATCTATGTACGCATGCATGGATAGGACACTTGCCTTCAGGATCTTTCCTGTAGTGTTGAGTGTGGAGTCCTCTAGTGCCTCTAGCGCAGCCATGTCTGGTTCCCTGCCCACTAATCTGACACTTCTTTCTTTGATCTCTTTCTCTCTTTTAGTAGCCTGCCTAAGTTTCTCCTCTAGCCTCAAGCTGATCCTCTCTACTTGTTGGAGCTCCATCTGCTCTCGGGTGCGTGGAGGTGGCGAGCTGAACTGCGAGCCCGCCATTTGACTAGTGCCAACCCCTGACGTACTGGAGATTGACTGTGAACTGGTAGGCATGCCTAGCCCTTGACCAGTTGAGTTCGCAGCAGTTGCTGCGGAAGTAGCATTACTCATTGCTACTGCTCTAGCGGCTGCTGCTTCTCTTGCAGCCTCAAGATTACGGGCCCTAGCTTCAGCCCTTAATCTTCTCTCTTCTCCCGGTTGTAGGGTTTGGAACACTCTAGGAATTCTAAGGGATAATAGCCTTGTTAACCTCCTATCGTCATCTGCACCCTCACCACCCTCTGATCCACTCATAGGTTAGGCAGACGCTGTCTGCACTAATGTCCTCCTGGAACCTACCGCAACATGCGTCTGACCGGATCTAAAAATAAATAATCAAATAAATGCCCGGCGAGTTACCTAGTCTACTAGTCAAGCGGCATCAACAGCATCTACACAAACTGTACACATTGTCTAACTCTTATTCTGATTAGTCTGCACAGAAGATTCGAGAAGAACTGACCATGGTAGATTACAGTCCTACTCTAGTCTGTCTGTTAGGTGTCAGCAGTCGGTCAACCAACTAATCAAAATAGAAACTTAGACTAGTGTGAGCAGATGTATGCACTATGGATATGTCAATGATATACAATTGAGTTCACAATTGGAATCCCCTTCCCCTGTATCCAACGTACCTGTGAGCATCATCAAGCTGCGGTGTCTAAGGTGTGCAACCACGCCCCACCCCTGTGCCCAAGAAGTATGCTTATGACCAGCCTGCCCCGTTGTTTATCCTCGCGTGCAACGAGCCTTACGTCTGACTGATCTGGCTGATCAGGAGGGATTTAAGGAGAGCCCCCATCTCCTCAGAAATTATTTAACGTCGCAAACAGGACGACGATCACAGCCAGTGGACATATCAGACCCCAACCAGAAATGTTTATAGACGGTTTGGGAGCGTCTCAATAGGACTGGTCAGTCCGCACACCCCTTCTATCAGCGCAGCAAAGAGCCTTAATGGACAAAGCAGCCATCGCATGCGTGTACTAATCCCATTGGGTTGGCATGGTGACCGTGACCCACGTGCTTCGACCAGGGCCCTTCAGAGGCACCGCCCTCTCCTGCCAGATGCGCCACCGGGAAGAATGTCGTCTCTCAAGATAGAGCGCACACGACTCCTTACCAAAGAGAGGACACTCAAGTTGGACTCACTTCCTCACGGTAAGAAGAGATTGAGAGGGAATGGGAACAACGTACCTGGAGATAGCTGCCCCCAACCACAAATTTCTCACCAATTGGGCTGATGTGCATTTCGATGACCGGTCCATAGCCTCGGTACCACCCACAACGCAATGCAGTGCCACCTCAACCAAAATGCCACGTCAACATACTCTCATCATCATGCATACATCCGTTGTCGCCACATCTCCCACGATGTCGCCACATCCTTCCAGTGGCTGGCCTCTCTACCTAGGCCCCGCTATTCAACCAGCGGCAAAGTATACTCACTGCACATGAAGCATCCTCAGCGCACCAAGTTACAATGTCACCGGTGTCAGGTAAGCGGTCATCATCAACCAGCTCCGATACCAAATTGCAAGGAATATGAGTGTGAGCGATATACATAAAACCAAGTTGCGAAATCACATAGCTGAGCAAGTAGTAGTATCCCAAGTAGAGAGTACAAA